CAAAGAATGCTTAACAATCTGGAGAAAATGTTTTGAACCATATTGGCACATGATAGGGTTGTAATGGGTTCTAATTTTTTTTTTTTTTTAAATTGTTGAAATGAACTTTAGAACGACAGACGTGGCGTTGGTGTGTAGTCCCTCGACTGATCCCCCGCTGGTAATGGCACTTGGTGGATCTGCTCCTGCATTTTACGTAAGTAGGTAAAGGGTACCAGCGAGTAAAAACTATTGTTACCGTTGTCATTATTGTGAAATATCCGCATGAGTCCTTTTTGAAAAAAGACGCCATAAAGAAAATAAATAAGATGTTGCAATGCATTTTGTAGAATAATAGTAGTGCGGAATTTCAATGTCTGAAAATAAAGAAAACAGGAAGCCTGAACTTAACCAACGTTACCATCTAGGAATTTCGAATGCACAACATCAAAACGTTCAATAAACGGATCGCAAAGCATTTGAAAAACAACGAACATTAAATGATAATAACCTTTCAGGGGAAGTTGTTCAAAGCTATTTCGGTTGATTTATTTCCTATATAGAAGTGAGAAGACTCCATGTAAAAGAAAAAATGAAGTTGTTCTTTTCTTCATGTTGTCGCGTTGGATAATGCCGAGGCGGATATATGCATGGGATCCAAGATGTCATACCTATCAAAACAGGTGAACCTCCTGAAAGAATTTGTCGAGGACAACAACTTGCACAGGCGTTCAGCAACATGGAAAACAACTACGGTAAATACCGTGCCTGATCCCCCCCCCCTCCCCCNCCTAACGTGTGGTACATATCAGCTGAAATTAAGCACAAGTTATATAAAGGAACACACTAAGAAGAGGGCAATCTTCTCCGTGAGAACATCCAAAGTAGGCATACGACAGCTTAGGTATATCTGCTTTGGATCCGTTACAACGGTTCCAATATCGAGGTATGGTATTGTAAATGTCGAGCAGGGTCTCGAGTAATTGGAGTATGTGCGCATATTGCGGCAATACTTTGTTAACTTGGATGTACCCAACACTGTGAAAACCTGTGATATGGAGTCAGAGATTGGGGGAGATGCACTGCGGATGCTAGCAAGATTCCTGAAGTTGTTGACGAGAGTGGCAGTGATGAAAGCGTTGTTGAGAATAAAATACTGTGAATCACTTATATTTCGCGATATATTCATTCCGGCTTTAACAGGTTTCTGTTAAAGAATTTGTCGCTAAATAAAATATAATTCTTTCATTTTTGTGAATTGAAGTAGTCATTAAAACTTGAGTTTATCAAATAAAGTTTATGCTAAATATAAGTAATTTACAATAATGCTAAAAGGAAATGAAATATCACAGAATGAAAAGTGGTGGTGAAATGTAACCCACACTTACTGGGAAATACACTGACACGCCTGCAATGGCAAATGTTCTTGTGATCTTTAATAGTAGCAATATCCGGTGTCAACTTACGTGAACACTTTTTGTCTAAACGGCACAACGTGTGTTATTAATTCTAATTGTGTATATATCTTTAAGCTGTGGATTAACTTGTTTTGTTCACAAGTTTTTTTCTGGAGCTCCTACTATGTTACCTAATATGTTATATAAACGGCTTAGATCAGGCTACTCATGTACTTAGTTGATAGCATTGTATATAAAAACATGTGTATTTTACACAATATTCAGAGAACTCTAATGTACAACATAGCTCGCAGTCTATGTATATTCGTAGTCTACACGCTAACAGTAAAAGTGACACCCTGTATAAAAGTACAACCGCTGTTTGAACAAATGAAATACCTTGCACGCCGAACATGAAGGATTTTAGTTAATGTTAATCCGCGAAAGGATTTTCGACGAATATTCCTTGCTATATATGTATACACTGTCAGTTGTGTTTGGTTTTATAAGCTCTTATCATACGAATCTCCTTGATATATCTTTTTTCATTTTCATATTCATGTCCTGCTTTAATGTCATCAACATCTGAGATCACATTACGGTTCGTTTGGGGTTATTTTGTATATTCATGTATATTCATAAATAGTTAATTTCAACAATTTAAAAAACAATTTTTAGAACCCATTACAACCCTATCATGTGCCAATATGGTTCTAAACATTTTCTCCAGATTGTTAAGCATTCTTTGTATACAGGTTCATAAAGAATAATCAGGTTTTTTTAAACAAACCTATCGTTAAAGGAACATATATAGAATATGTACACTATGTGTACTGTGTGGACTCTTGGTCAATATGTGTGTGCATTATTATAATTGTGGAATGCCAGAACTCTGACCAATGTCTAATATTCCCCTATTTTCTTAAGTAAAGATGGATATTATTGCAATGCACCTTCAGGTGTATTACCGGTGTTAATGATAAAGCTGAAATTTTTTAATACAAATAGTACTAATTTCATCCTTGGAAACACTAATGTTACACGCTGCTTTTCGGCCTTCCAGTGTCGTCGCTGTATGGTTTCCGTTGGTGACAATAGCAGCAATATGCTTGATGATCATTTATCGCATTCGGAATAAAGAAACGATGTCTAATAGTACCCACATGGGAAGCTTATAATAAAGCAAGAGAGTGAGTATTAGGGATAGTCTTTTTTAAATTAAGTTATCATTCACCTAAATATGTTGGAGGAAAAATTGCATGATATATACTATTGCATGATAACAAGAGGCAATACGGGTTGGCAACAGCATTAGGAACTTAATGGCCCTGGTGGAAGGGAATATAAAAGTTGTATCAATATTAGTTTAGCAAGGGGGCTTTCATATGCTGCGCGTATTCGTTTAGGCTTTGTTATTTCGATGTAACGCAGATCTTACCCCAATTCTCGGGAGGGGGAGGGGGGCTTTATCAGGCATACAGGATACGTTTTATCCTGCAACAAACATATCACCTTATATTTTCAACTGATCAATGTTGCGTCAAACACCAGCATTTTTAAGCAATGAGTTACAATCACACGACGTGTGAGAATCCTGGGTTTGAGCACTAGGTAAATCAGCTAAACAACTGTCAGCGAGCTGGACAGACCTACCAACCATCCTCCACGATATAAGCCACCTTAAAATTTCAAAATCCAATATTCATTTGAACAAGAACATTCATACAGTTAAAGTTCTACGCCAATGTAGTATCATCTTATAAATGCAGGTCGGTAGACTGTGATTTGAAACATCTTATGGTTTGATATCTATTCAATAAATTACCAAATGTAATTTTAATTTTGTTGAATTATTTTATGTTTACAACTAGGTATGGCCAAGAAAATTCGAGGAAGACGGAATGGATACCAAATTGATACCAAACATATCGAAGGCAACGTACAACACAGTGTAAAAGATATTATGAAATAGTTCATAACAGTATAAGAATAACACAATTTTATAACATTTTCAGCAGTGGAATATGGAGAGAAATAATCGGTATATATGTCATTCTCACTGAATTATGGAAAACTTAGGGGTTATTTAAAAATCCACACATTTCAGGTCAAATCTAAGCAACATAGATAGTAAATACATAGATAGTAAATACATAGATAGTAAATGATTTAGAAATCTATCCAACGGAGAACACAGTTGTCTGTTCTTATTTGGTAAAACTGGGTTAAATCTTAGAACAGTTGTCATACGTGGCTACCACGTAATTAACGCAGACAGTATTTCAACACATGGACAACTTTCCCGAGAAAGAATATTCATCAGAAATCGGGTTAGTGACATTGTCGCCACCAGCAAAAAATGTGTCCTACATTGAAATCAAGAAGTCACGTGATGGAGATGTCCCGGCACCAGACCTTTCGCAAATTATCGAGTTGATTTTAACTAGGATTTCGAAAAACAAAACAAAAAACAATAAACGGTTATAAAATATCTTATGGCCTTTTGTTGTAACCATATATACAAATAGAAGTTCGAGCATGAACACTTTTTCACGAATACGAGGGTCATTCAATAAACTTTGTCACAAGTGAGAGGAATCGTATGTATGATGTATATAGTTTGATATTTCTACTACAATCCTTTGAATTAACCCCCTTGGCAGTAACGCACTTTCGCAATCGCGCTATCTATGACATTAATGATGCGTGGTAGTCTCCCCTTAATATGCGTGCAAGGCACTGGAAGGTTGAACTGTACCAAGAGAACTCATAGAAGCATACCGTTTCCCAGGGAGCATGTCTTTAGTAAAGGAAACAGGCAGCGGTCACATGAACTAAGATCTGTTGAATAGGGTGCGTGGTCAATCTTTACTACCTTTTCTTGCTTCAAAAACGATTTTATAATATTGCTTTTGTTCGATGAAGCATTAACCCTTTTACTTCGAGGCTTTTTAATGTAGAATCGTTTAACAAGCGTCAGTACTTTGTGTTTGTAAAACCTGGCAGCGATAACTTTTGCATTCCTTGCAAGGTATCTGAACCACAGGTCCACTTACATTTTCAAAAATGGCAAAACAATCCATAAACAGCTATGGCCATTTAAGGACGTGCCAGGTTTTTTGTAAAGCAATACACCCAGGTCTCGACCCCTGTAAGTAGATAGATAGTGTTTTGCGTCGTAATTATCATACATTCGACGACTTCCACATGATAATGATTAAACTAATGAGGATGTACGAAACTATTTTATTATCAAATATTAGTATTCTCTGCCAGAGAATGTACACATACAATAACGGATGGTGTTGGTAACATAAATCTGCTTTCCGAATTCCATTTAACTTGATAACGGTTTTATAATATAAGACTAATGATGACCCTTTCATCATATATATGCAATAGGTGTGCATAACGATAATATCCGGAAGCAGCGATACAATGTACAAGTGTAGCAGTTTTTCCTATGTTTATAATTGTGAAATTTACCAGCGACAAAAAACAACAAACAACACAAAATCAATCGTACAACTAAAAAGGTGGCATTAGTGAGTTTATCGCCAGATATTTTTTAAAGATAAACATTTGTAATCTATTTAACAGGTAGCGCATCCATGTGACTAGGTCGACCCATGTTGATAAATCACTGTTATCTGTATGATACATCACATCATTGTACAGATAGCTGTTACGACTAAGCGCATCAACAATGAATTATACAAGTGGAAACAGTTTCTATTAAATGTCGTGATTTGCTTTTTAGTTCAGAGGTTGAAATTATCAGTTAATATTCTGTGAGGTTTGTAATTTTTGCGTGCCGTGAAGTTCGTGGTTAACCATGTACTGGACGATCAGTGTTGTGGCTGTGTGTGTGGTCCTAGTCACGGGTACGCACGCAGCGACCTGTACACAGAAAGATTTATGCTCCTGTTCGATGGACGACGGTTCTGGAGACATTGATGTTTCTTCACTTGGTAAGCAGGATGGAACTGCGATGTAAGTAGTGAAAACATCTGTAATTAATTCTCGAAAATACAAATTCAATTCTGTGTCTTTATCAACACATTTACCTTCCAACGTATAACAGTAATGATCACTTCTCTATCAAAAAGTATGACAAACGTAACGACTTTAACTTAAAGACCGTCAAGTAATTTTCCTTTCTTTGATAATACTATGTACCAGGAAACTTTCGCCGTTCGCTGGTACAATCGGGTTTCGCACAGTGTTAATTTCGCCCTTCACTTTTGATGGTGATATGTTGATTATCTAGCTTACATGTGGTGTCACTTATGATAAATTCGCCCAGATAACTGAGGGCGATAAAGGCGAAAGTTAAACTGCGGCGAAAATATCCCAGTATTCATTAACAATTAACATACCAGCCTTCTCTCGGTATGCTTAAATATCACAGTTGTTTCGCTATTCTAGAAACTTATTTATGTGCATGATTTTCTTAACCTATGCAGCACATTGACCAGTTGTTGTTTACATGAAAGATTTGTGGTCTACTTTGATGGAATGAAACGACCATGCTACACTATTTGTGTGGTGACCTCCCGTTAAGATGCACTTGTCTTAAACACACTTCATGATATACTGTATTGTCAAATATTGTTTCTTTGCAAGCAAAATCCATTTTCGCCCATTGTTAATTTCACCTTTTACATGCAATTACTGTACAGGCTATGTTGTGTACTTATATTCGCTGTCATGAACAATTCGCTTTCATTGTGGACGGCGAAATAGACGAACGTTAACCTTCGGCGAAGATGTCAGGTAATTAAGTATACAATAATTTACAAATGAACGAAACTAAAAACAGGGGAATTTTGTTTCAAAAGGTGACGTTGATATCAGGACAACCAATATGCAGTACTGATGTACAATAATCTATAATGATATGTATATATATATATATATATACTCGATGACCCACACCTGTCATTGATAGTACTGTTATGTTCTTATCATTGTAACTGAACCCAACATAAATAATTTATGACAAATAACCCACAGGTTGAAGGAAGAAAGTGTTTACCGAGCCAATGGCGGTCTCGAATATTATGGGATTAAAAAAAACCCAATGACAATGTCAATTCCCTAGATACGTCCCATTGTAAAGTGTTTTGTTTGAACTCCTTGACCCACCCTTGTCAATACAAATATGTAACTACACATCACGAGACCATGATATAAATCATGTGACTATTGCGTCACGTTTGAAATTGATTTTGAACCAGGAATTGCGTCGAAACTTTATCTTTCAGTATAACAAAAACGCAGTACATTTCACGGATAGAGGTTAAAATATCAGGTGTAAACAACTAGATTGATATCGTTCTTCGATATGACAATTATTCTCACTCCATGACATGTCATATGTACATGTATCATCAAAAACAGTTAGTGTTAATAATTATAATATGCTTTACCTTCTCTTAGTTCAGGATTTCATACATACGTTTGTTGAGTATTAACACTTCAAATTAATTAATAGCTGTCAAACACTTACTACCATTTACTATTTACTGGTGTCATTTCATATAACATCACCACCATCTTCTGTTAAGTGACGGGGAGTGGTATACTTGTAAAAATATGTTTGAAAATGAATTGAAAATACGTATTTATATTATGGCGCGATTTAATCTTTGAAAAATAAGATATGATAAGATCTGTTGTAGAGAAGCGATTCAGAATATACAATGACTAGCACTACATTTCAAAGTAAAGAAAAAGAAAGTAACTGTTAAGAGATGTTGTCAGGTACAATTTACAAGATAAAGCTATTATAAAGTTATAATGAGAGGAGAGGTTTGATAGAAAAACAATGTGAATGAGGAAGACTCACAGACATCATTTATATCAATATGTCTACATGTGAACACTTCACATAGAACCGTACTTTATATAATAATCTCGCTACCGTCGCATATTATGTTCATTCAGATACATGTTTTACACATATTCTATTGTTACAAACTTTCTTATTTCTTTCTATCAAAAGCACTTTGAGAAGACATTTTTGTGGATTTTGCATACCCAAAATAGATTTTTGTCACATTAGATTTTAAAATCGCCTTGATTACAAGTTTTGGTGCAATCGTCCGTTTATTAAGATACGTATCAGTACATCTAGCAACTAAGACCTCATACAAACCTTAAGTACAATCAACGAGAATCTATATGTTTTACAAGTTGCGTAATAGACAACATATACTGGCACTTACAAATGATAAAACTAGTATACATACGTTTGATTTATACACGAAACCCCGCTTACTATGCAGAAGCAAGTAGTTATATGTAACTAGCTAATCCTTAACTTTGTACACCCATTATAAAATCGATCTAAGTACTTATCAATTGCCAGCTTAATTTTGTATTATTTATCAATTTGTTTCGATATTATCCCGAAGCATCTGCTGTTTTTATTTTTTTCATTGTTTTGTGGTTTCTTGTTTTTAGGTTCCAAGATATGGCTAGTTCTGATGGTACAATATACTCCTTGAACTTGTGTTACCCTTTTAATGAAATGGCATGTGCAAATGCAGCGGTAAGTATGCAATATCAACCAGTTTAGTCTTTTTTATTTAAGTTAAATATCAAAATGGTCTTAGAAACAACTTACATTTATTGACAAAAAAACCCACTATGTTGTCAACCTACCCAACGCCAGCCACTTCTCACGTGATCGTTTCCCAGCGTCAAGCTTGCCAAAAGAGGCCAAAAATTATATATGTGATTGTTCTTTGCTTTAGCTGGTATTGCAGAATGTTTGCCGTGTTAGACGAAAGTTGCATGACACTGTTATGTTAATACAATGAAAGGAAAATACAAATGATTTTAAATAAGATAATGATGTGAAAATACTGGATATATTTTTATTCAAAATCGGTATGAAGTGCCATATTTATATATTAATAAAATTCCAACATGAAACGGACACAATTCCTTTCAAACATTGAATATATTGAATATAAATGTTCTAACAGTATAGTTATATATAATAGAGGCTAGACAATCGTTTAGTTTTTCAAGTTACCAATAGGTTTTTTTTCTGAGAAACTACTTGAGAAGCTACAGATGTATTGATTAGTGCCTATCAATTTTGATAGTTTGACAGTTTGCTTCTATAATTTAAGCAACCAGTGTTTTCATTGTTTACACTGTATTTTGTGATTTTTTTTAATATAACTATTTCCGGAACACTTTTGCATTGGAATTAAAACATCCGTCCTTGTTAAAACACCTAAATTTAATCTACTGCATCAAAGGTGTCTATTTTGCAATCGTTTGTTATTTTTACAGCCCTAAAATTACAAAGAAACAAATCCCGAAAACACATATAGTTAATACTGTTTTACTTCATTAGCAGGTCATTGGTTTAGTTTGGTGAGCTTGGGTATCATGCAGAGTCAACGTCAACCTAATTTTATTTCATTGGAAGATTTGCTAAAATTTGTGTCCATTCTGTTCGGTCTAGGCGTGCCAAATATTAGCAGACGGGAGCGCTAGTTACCAGATCGGAGATGCCACAAATGTCGGTTTCGAGACGGATACATTAAACCAGGTCCACATCAAGTACACAAATATAGACCAGGGTTCTGGCCTCACGAGGTAATACTGAAATACATGAAAATATACATGATATCAATACATACATGAATAGGAGAATGCCGACGTGTCAACAAAACCGTGATTCTACCGAAACGTTGATTAAACTAGTGCTAGATAGAAACAACGGAAAGGCATACACGGAAACACCTTTAACACATGAAAATATAACACGGAACCTGGAATGATTCGTGTCTGCTGTGTTTTAATGACGACACCCATTACTCGAGCACATCTAGGTCAAATCTAAATAATGCCACGTACTCGAAGATGGGGTAGTGGCAGCATAAAAATAAGACATAACAATGAGCATAATGAGAGATTATGACCTACATGTCACACTAATCTAGATATGGGCCATAATTATAAAACTGCTCTCATGCCGAAACTCAGAGTCTGTGCTCAAGCCCATATTTTGGTTTTGGTGATAGATTCGTAAACTTCACATGTTCATTATTTGGAAGAGTTTTGGTTATTCTCGAACCTGAATACTGTTTAAAATATTTACATTTTACTGTTCTTTACTGTGTCACATGATTGAAACAAGTAATAGAAAATCGATTTTGGCACAGCATCTATGCTTGAGCATAACATCGGTTTCATGATTCTGGCCTTACGTTACAATGATAAAGTAGACAAATACAGACCATTGTTCTGGGACTAATAAATTATTATTAATAAAAAAGGCGAGGGTTTTAACACACACGAGATTGAACTACAGTACTAATATATGAATCAGGGTTCTGACCTCAAGAGGTCACAAAATTAAACTGCAGTACCTAACTATGGTAAAAACAATTAAAGAGCGTACAATAAAAGAGAATACCTAGTAATAAACAAAACAATAATACAAACTCCAAAAATCGATAAAAATGGAAAAAAATATGACGAAAGGAAAGATTTACACAGAGAAGTGAAGTTTTAAAGAAATAAGACCAGGTGTTCCGGAAGAAAAGGAGTCCTCTGCGTCATACAAAATACGTGTCATACAGTGTTTATGTAAGTAAAAACAAAGGAATGCCACGTTCTCAAAAAGAGAACAGTTAAAATGACAACGAAATAGAAATGTTCACTAATGAGCATAATTAAAAAAAAGGATATTTATATAATGGCGGAGGATGTAAAATACTCCTCGATGAGATCATGAGGGAATATCATGAAGTGCCGATCGTCTTCATCAACATGTATTTTTTCGAAGAAATAACCAAGCTACAAACTGAATTATCTTGTAATGTTCAAAGCGAGGAAGCGAATGAAATTCAGTTCGAACATGTTGGGCACCTAGACTCCTCTAGGATACCTTTTGTTGCCTCGTGCACATAGACAGAATAGGATGGCGAGAAGGTGGAAATAATAAACAATTGTTACTCTCCACGTGCACGGTTCACTATCGAACGTGCACATTCATCCGTTTGCGTGATTTTTGTCGTGGTTTTGATTCACCAATATATAATACCAAATCACAACGGAAACATTCAATTTCATAGACAATATCGAAAATTTTGCAATCCTGGAATTCAGGCTTCCCAACAGAATACTTTCGTTGTAGGTTTAGTATAACCAAATGTCGTTAAACTGTGTACTTACCAATGACCACTATATATATTAGTGACGTAATCAATACTGTAGTTTAGATCACATTAATAAAATGACATAGCATTAGCATCAATAGAAGGGATGTAAACCAACGTCATTATACAGATACACCTCGTTATTCTGCCACCATTTTAAGAGAAATGTTAGCGTTATAAAGGGGTAACATTGAGGGAACAATATAAATTAATTATAAGGAACGTCAATTCTTTCGCATCATGCATTATTTCAAAGTTTTTATTATTAGGAAATAACAGTTTTAATGATATTAAGTTCCATTTAAAGTTCATAATGTACATTTAGTAAATTGATATCTAATGCATTTGACTATATCTTTTTCCTTGTTATTAAATTTTGAAATGCTACTGTATTTTAGAACAACAGATGTAACACTGGTGTGTAATCCCTCGGCTGATCCCCCTATGGCTACTGCAGACGGCGAGACCGCTCCAGGCTCTGTCACATACGTAAGTCTATTTATCTCTATCGCTAAACCTTAGGGATACCTATCACACTGCACTGTGGTTTTATTTCGTATATACAGCAACTGTCCATGACTTTTGTTTAGGTATAACGGGTACGATTGGGCCAGAACCTTTTTGTTGACACGGTAACTCAGTCGGTTAGAGTTTAAATCCAGGATCAGTTTTCATGAAACTGTTATCAGGCTCAAACATAGATCATGTGCTCAAACAAACTTTCTTACATCTCACGTAAGTCATGTCAAACGATCAGAAAGTCAAATGTAAACATTACAAACAGCACTTGGCTTTAAGTCTCTTCAAAGTTTTCAAAATAGTTGACATAATAACGTTTTATTATCGATTTATAATCAGTTCAAGAAATAAGGCTTGATCACAAAATCCATGGTTGAGTATGAGGACGGGTTCATGAATACGGGCCCTGGTCAACCCCAGCTGCATTTTAACATTCAGAACACTGTTGTTGATTATATTTTATTTTATTTCATCTTTATTATTTTTTCTTAAAATATCTGCAAGGTATGGGTTTCTTATAATGCATGGTTTAACATAGCTAAAAGTCATGCCGGGGAAAATCTATTTCCTATACATAGTTACTGTCCTTGGCAGTGGTCCAGGTAGCTTTAAACGATGCAAAGTCAAGCTAGAAATCTTCATGTCTTTTATCAAGATCTTAATAGCATGATTATATGAGAAACATTTAAATATGACATTTTATTTTATAAATATAATAATGATTTTAAGAAGTTCATTACTGTATATACGATTCCTGAGAAGCTGTGTGAATTTTTTTCTAAAGCTGTTTACCGTAAATACAAAATGCGGGTGTCCAGGGCAATGTGGCGGTGGACCTGCGCCACCGGATCCCACAACTACCAAAGGCCCTAATCCAGGACCTGGTCCAGCGCCAAACACATCGTCTGAGGGTATCAGCATAGGAACTATACTTGTCATTGTGTAAGTATCATTATCTTATCTGTTAAAGGTGGGGTCATCCAAATTGTCAGATAAATGTCACCGGCGAATATCATTTTGAAAATGAGTTATGATAGTGTACAGTGTATAAAATTACTGTTATTGGTTTTATTTAACAAATCTTAACAAATAAAGCAAGGAAAGATATCCTTGTCTGTCTCCCCAAACAAACAAATTATTTTAGCACATTTGATTGTTGTGACCTTGAACGAAGTTCAAAGTCATCAACGTTTACAAAACTTGAATCCATTCACATGAACAACCTACTTGCATAATATCAAGACCAAAGGACCTTTGGTCATGAAGAAACACAAGTTAAAGGAAAAGCGGAAAGAAACCTATGTTTTTCTTTTTTTGAACCAAAAGTGATATATGACAAATTTACCGGTTGTTTATAATTTTGAAATTCCTGATGTTGAAAGATATTATTGGTGTCCAACTTTTAAGCAAGTATGAAAAGTAGACTCGTTTTAGAACTATGTTAATTACCATGTCAAAAATGGAAATTTTCTCATTATGAATGATATTTCATTTACTTTTCTGCTGCAATCTTCAATAAAAAGATCGATTCTTTCTTGAAATGGTGTAATATTCGGTATCAAAATATGTTGCACACGATGATGATACCATTTTATGGTAATTGTGTTATTTAAATGCTCTAGGAGGAATTATATTACCGCACCTTTAACATCCACACAGATGTAAGTCAATGAGGTCCCATTTATAATAAAATGAGTTCTGAAACTAACTGATCCTGATTAAAGCTTCCTATAACCATACCTTTTTGGATTTATCTTGTTTTGAAATTCCAAGCGGGGGCAAACGCTTATGTTAAATCTCCATAGGCGTTGACCCTACCTTCAATTTTATTTCATCTAGAACGAATCAGTGTTACCATATTTTGTTATTCAATGAATAGCCAAGATTACTTCTAGGGTTATACGGTACACATTGTACCGAGCAAGATACGTAACTCCGCGTGTTCCATCCTATTCAGCTGTAAATGAGTTCGTGTTTGAGCAGTACTCTTTCTTTGTAATACTGTTGAATGCTAGCTGTGAGCACCGAAATGGCAGCACCGGCTGTATGCTTACCAGAGAGTTGAGAAGAACCACAGAGAAAAACGTGTGAACCGCTTTGAGACGACCTACGACCTAGGTTGTAATAATGCTGTTTATGAGAACATCGAAAATTATTATTATAATTATAACTCTCGAGACAGATTCGTTATGGACAGGTTTTAGTTCTATCACACTTACTGTAGCTAGCTCGATCCTATTGCTACTTCTAGTAAGCTACAGATATCACAGGCTAGTGGCTACAGATATCACTAGCTACAGATACCACTAGCTACAGATACCACTAGCAATACCACTAGCTACATATATCACTATATATCACTAGCTAGTGTTATCTGTAGCCACTAGCCTGTGATATCTGTAGCTAGTGATATCGGTAGCTAGTGATATCTGTAGCTAGTGATACTGTGGCTAGTGGTATCTGTAGCTAGTGATATCTGTTGCTAGTGATATCTGTAGCTAGTGATACTGTGGCTAGTGGTATCTGTAGCTAGTGATATCTGTAGCCACTAGCCTGTGATATCTGTAGCTAGTGATATCTGTAGCTAGTGATATCACTAGCTACAGATATCACTAGCTACAGATATCACAGGCTAGTGGCTACAGATAACACTAGCTACAGATATCACTAGCTACAGATACCACTAGCTACAGTACCACTAGCTACAGATATCACTAGCTACAGATAACACTAGCTACAGATATCACTAGATACAGATACCACTAGCTACAGTATCACTAGCTACAGATATCACTAGCAACAGATATCACTAGCTACAGATACCACTAGCTTGCGTATCACTAGCTACAGATATCACTAGCTACAGCTACCACTAGCTACAGATACCACTAGCTACAGACACCACTAGCTACAGATATCACTAGCTACAGATATTACTAGCTACAGATACCACTAGCTACAGATACCTCTAGCTACAGATATCACTAGCTGCAGATACCACTAGCTACAGATATCACTAGCTACAGAAACCACTAGCTACAGATACCACTAGCTACAGACACCACTAGCTACAGATATCACTAGCTACAGAAACCACTAGCTACAGATACCACTAGCTACAGATATCACAGGCTAGTGGCTGCAGATAACACTAGCTACAGATATCACTAGCTACAGAGACCACTAGCGACAGATATCACTAGCTACAGATACCACTAGCAGATATCACTAGCTACAGATACCACTAGCTACAGTATCACTAGCTACAGATATCACTAGCTACAGACACACTAGCTACAGATACCACTAGCTACAGAAATCACTAGCTACAGATATCACTAGCTACAGATTTCACTAGCTACAGACACACTAGCTACAGATAGCACTAGCTACAGATACCACTAGCTACACATACCACTAGCTACAGAAACCACTAGCTACAGATACCACTAGCTACAGACACCACTAGCTACAGATATCACTAGCTACAGATATCACAGGCTAGTGGCTGCAGATAACACTAGCTACAGATATCACTAGCTACAGAGACCACTAGCGACAGATATCACTAGCTACAGATATCACAGGCTAGTGACTACAGATAACACTAGCTACAGATATCACTAGCTACAGAGACCACTAGCGACAGATATCACTAGCTACAGATACCACTAGCCACAGTATCACTAGCTACAGATATCACTAGCTACAGTTACCACTAGCTACAGATATCACTAGCTACAGAAATCACTAGCTACAGATATCACTAGCTACAGACACACTAGCTACAGATAGCACTAGCTACAGATACCACTAGCTACAGACACCACTAGCTACAGATATCACTAGCTACAGATATTACTAGCTACAGATACCACTAGCTACAGATACACCACTAGCTACAGACACACTAGCTACAGATACCACTAGCTACAGAAATCACTAGCTACAGATATCACTAGCTACAGATAACACTAGCTACAGATATCACTAGATACAGATACCACTAGCTACAGTATCACTAGCTACAGATATCACTAGCAACAGATATCACTAGCTACAGATATCACTAGCTCCACTAGCTACAGTGACCAATAGCTAACAATGACACTAGCTACAGATATCACTAGCTACAGATACCACTAGTAGCTAGTGATATATGTAGCTAGTGATATCTGTAGCTAGTGATATATAGTGATATATGTAGCTAGTGGTATAGCTAGTGGTATCTGTAGCTAGTGGTATCTGTAGCCAGTGTGTCTGTAGCTAGTGGTATCTGTAGCTAGTGATATATGTAGCTAGTGATATCTTTAGCTAGTGGTATCTGTAGCTAGTGGTATCTGTAGCTACTGATATCTGTAGCTAGTGGTACCTGTAGCTAGTGGTATCTGTAGCTAGTGGTATATGTAGCTAGTGTGCCTGTAGCTAGTGGGATCTGTAGCTAGTGGTATATGTAGCTAGTGTGCCTGTAGCTAGTGGTATCTGTAGCTAGGGGTATCTGTAGCTAGTGATATCTGTAGCTAGTGATTTCTGTAGCTAGTGATATCTGTAGCTAGTGGTGTCTGTAGCTAGTGGTATCTGTGGCTAGTGGTATCTGTAGCTAGTGATATCTGTAGTTAGTGATATCTGTAGCTAGTGGTATCTGTAGCTAGCTACATATACCACTAGCTACAGATACCACTAGCTACAGATACCACTAGCTACAGGCACACTAGCTACATATACCACTAGCTACAGATACCACTAGCTACAGATACCACTAGCTAAAGATATCACTAGCTACAGATACCACTAGCTATACCACTAGCTACATATATAACTAGCTACAGATACCACTAGCTACCGATATCACTAGCTACAGATACCACTACCTACAGCTATCACTGCCTACAGATACCACTAGCTACAGATACCACTACCTACAGCTATCACTGCCTACAGATACCACTAGCTACAGATATCAATAGCTACAGATATCACTAGCTACAGCTACCACTAGCTACAGATATCACTAGCTTCAGATATCACTAGCTACAGATATCACTAGTTACAGATATCACTAGATACAGATACCACTAGCTACAGATACCACTACCTACAGCTATCACTGCCTACAGATACCACTAGCTACAGATATCAGTAGCTACAGATACCACTAGCTACAGTCACACTAGCTACATATACCACTAGCTACAGCTACCACTAGCTACAGATATCACTAGCTAAAGATACCACTAACTACAGATATCACTAGCTACAGATACGACTAGCTACAGATATCACTAGCTACAGATACCACTAGCTACAGATATCACTAGCTACAGATACCACTACTGCTCCTACTAACTAGATACTACTTCATTTCAGAAATAAACGAAATGGATTAAACGACAAATCAATCAGTTGTTATTACAAATAGAGGATTTTACATGAATGTTATTTTTTATTTCGAACTATGAAAGTTATGTGATAAGTAGAATCTTACAATATTTTGATATGACATTAGCCTTAAGGTCTTTATGACAATTACGTGTTATCAGCTGAATCTATATAATAAAAACCAAAATACTCTGATTATAGTATTGTCGTTCCGCGCAGTGCAAAGAAATTAAAGATTTTATTTTAATAATGAAAAGTTTTAAATGCAATGAAAATAATAATGACAAAATTTAAACACATTTAAAATGCCAGTTGATGTATGTTGTGGTAAAGTAAATAAAAGTTATACCTGTAGTGGCGTAATAATATAGTCCCACGATTTCGACCAATCGCAGCAGCTTTGGGTTTAATTACAGGTGTGTACATGTAATACCATATTTATTACATGGTCGGATGACATAGTAAAATGGGTCATTTATGTGATAATATGTATTATGAGCTGCTTATAGTTGCAATATAGATCATTTTAATATAAATATCTCTCTTACAGTGCTTTAGCGCTAGGATTTTCGTACTTGGTTGGAGGTATTTTATTTATGAAGATGGTTCGCCACGCCCGCGGGACAGAGGTAGTACCTAACGTCTCGTTCTGGGGAAGTTTACCTGGTCTCGTCAAGGTTAGTAGAATTATATACGACTTAATAAGTGTGTTTCATTTTGACTTTCTTAATTGCACGTGACTGTCATTTCGAAATACGATCGCCCCTCGTCCATTGTGTAGAAATATCATACCATTGATTTTACCTGTAATTGTGTAAAAAGGCGAATAGCACGATATTAAAATAAATTCGACACATACAAATATAAATTTCTTTACATTCTTATAAAAATGAAAGTAACCTATTGAATAAAAACTGAAATAATATCCAAAGATATTATAACCTCTTAACATTTTCCCAGTTTGAAGCACTAATTTTCTTTATAATCATTTACTGTTTGTTCTTACAATTGGTTATTTAGTGCCAATATTTTAGCAGGAAAAACTGTTGATGGTACAATGTATAACGGGAAAATGTTAGATTAATGTATTGTGTTTTGTAATGAACATTTCTGCATGCCGTATTAGATTTTGAAGGATCGATATCTACTTTTGATTTTTTGTAACGTAAGCGATTTGTAAAAGATGAAATAACAAAATATGTAAATAATAGGGGAAGAGGTGGCTCAGTGATTAAGGCGTCTGGCCGTCTTCGAACACTAGCCCTCCACCACTGGGTCGTAGGTTTGAGGCCTACGTGCACGTGCACTAGTGACTACTAAATTCTGACTATCCTCGTAATATGGTAGTATAACCCAACCATGCTGACTATACTCGTACAATGCTGACTATAAACCAACAATGCTGACTTTTTACTGAAATTCACTTTAATTTACCACGGTTGGGTTATACTCAGCATTGTCGTTTAAAAGTCAGAACGGTTGGATTAAAGTCAGCACGGTCCGATAAAAGTCAGCACGGTCGGATTAAAGTCAGCATAAAGATTTTACCTGTGTTCATTGATCCGCGCGCGAGCTCCACACGGCCAGTGCTAGACAGCAGCAGGGGGTTTCACACCTCCTGTAGGCCGC